CCTCACTTCTACTACGCTCAATACTCTAACTGCAAAGAACATAGAGTTGATACAATCCGAAGGTGTACAAGGCCAACTTTTTCTTTGAAAACAGCCAGTCGATGGGGAGAAAATCCTGGTCTTACAAGATAATGCCATGAGGAGGCCTTACACTGTAAATGAGGATGAGTGAGGGAGGGAGAGGGACGTTAACTCACCTTGTTCCATTGGCGGTATCTCTTCAGGTTTTGGTTTCCGTCTCTTGCCACTAAAATGTCAAATAAACACTTGAAACATGTAATAAATGGTTGAGGAATAAGTACGATGGAAGCAAAGGTGATCAGAGCTAGATCTTTTACTTTTAGGCACGAAGCATGTGTAAAACTGGAAAAGGTTTATAAATACTAGATTACAGCCGTGATGATTCTAACAAGTGGAATATTGTAGGAAGCTTTCTACAGTTGGTTGATTTTTATCATAAGAACCACAAGACTTTATTTCATTACCATATCGAATTAGTTGTTTTTGCGCCTAGACCTCATTGATGAGTAGCTGAATTTTGGATCTTTTTGATTTTTTGGAAAATTGCGCCACTTCTAGAGTATAGCTGCTTTTAAAATGGTCTTAATTTCAGCGAGTTAGCCGAGGTGAATACCCACAGCAATCTTAGGGAACGGTGAACTAAAGTAGATCGTTCACTTTAGTTCCATCAGAGTTTTCGCATTCAGACGCTTCAGTTGACATCCAACAGGTAAAAGCTGTGCAGGAAGCATTTACGTTTTCGAATAAGTTAACGATTACTAAATTTATTGTTGCTTTGCCGAGTTCAAATGAACAAATTCTAGTATTTGAGTAGTCTTTGGTAAAACACGCCTTGGAGATTATGTGTACTGGTTTATTGGTACTTGTGTTTGTGTCCCATCTTTACTTTGATGATTGTGTGCTGCTGAGTCGAGGTTCCACTTAGGACTTAGCGCGTTCTCGAAATCTCGCCAAGTACTAACTGATTTTACATTGTTTATTAATTGCATACCACTTTCTGTTTCGAAAAGCCCATTGTATGTGTGGTGCATCACACAGCACCTTTTCATCCT